GCTGTTCTGGGGGTGACTTCCCAAGACGGTGGCAAATCCTTCTGTCGTCTCCCTCGACTCTCCCGCTGAGCCGGGGTGGAAATGGCAGGATCTCGAAGACCTGGAAATGGAGAAAGCTCCGAAGACTGAGTCCCGACCCCAGCCCCAACCCCAGCCCTTGCCCCTCTGGGCCGGCTGCTGTCGTTCCGCGGTTGCGTATTGCAGACACTTAACCCTCTCTCGGGCGCGGAGGGCAACAAGTTGCTGGGAAAGGCGGCAGTTCCGCGGGGAAGGGCAGGGAAACTCCGCGCCCGCTGAAAAGCGTATAGCTGGGGCCATGTTCACTGTCCCGACGGAGACCCAGGTGCAGGAGAGAAGGGAGACAGCCGCCGTGGAGGTGAAACTCAGTGCTGACACGATTTCGGGGCTGGGGGGGCCCTTGCTGAGCAGCCCGGGCAGGCGATGGCGGGTCCCGCGGGCTGTGGGCTACCGCGGGCGCGGAGGGGCCGAGCGGGAGCGCGGCAGGTCGCTCAGCAGCCGCCCGTCCCGCAGCCCTGCTTTGTAGCCCGTCTCATAACCGTTGGCAGTTTCTGGGAGCGGGGTGAGGAATGACAAACGGGTGCCAGTAATCACAGCAACCACCGGATGGTAAACTCGAGTTCACCTTCATTAGCTCTAACCACTTAATTGCTATTAATCTTTCATAATCAGCTAAGGAGTGAGCCAGACGTGATTACGTGTTTCGCTCGGTTATAAGCCGAATCAGTATTTACTCTCAGGACATGAAACCCTGCATAATTAGGAGGAAGGTTTGTGGAGGCACAAGTTTCTCATCCTTTTATGTCCCTGCACGCAGCTTTCTGGTGAAAACATTGCTAACACGCTGAAGTCCCGAGAAACGGGAGACTTCATATCTCCGGACATGTTTCCATTTGTGTTCCCATCTCCCGTTGTGCAATAAATGCGGTGAAATTTTCTCTCCCGTCACGACATTTTAAATAAGGCCGCCGAAAGAAAGGAGCACCTAAAGCACCGGGTTTCGGAGCTTTTTGAGCTCCGTTACATCAAAGCAAACCACGGTGCAGCCGCAGGGACGGCCGCAGAGGACCTCAGCCCTGCCGACAGCGAGAGCCCCTCGGTGTCCCAGAAAACTGTGTCTTTGGGCGGGTTTCTGACCAACAACTTCAATTCCATAATGAGCCGTTTTGTGGAGGGTGTAGAGAGCAGCACTGCCCTGCACGGCAGGATGTTATGCACGCGAATAAAAATAATGAGCTCATGAGCCAAGGTCGGATCTCTGAGAGCATCCACCCAGTTTACAAGTGGCAGGACGCGTCCCGCAACCCCGGTCCCGGGGACCGTGCTGCGGCCCCCGCCCCGGCCCCTACAAGTCCTAAGTGGGACTTGGATCAGAACTGCTGCTGGATGGGAAAACCCCTGGTGGCCAGGGATGCCTCCACCATCATCTGCTTCCTCTGAGGACTGAGTGACTCGTCTTCTTTTATATGATTTTCAAGTCTAGATTATGATTGTTATATTGATACAGCAAACCATGTATTAAAATCTGACCTGATCTGCAGGGGGTCCAGGTGATTAGAAATCATAAGTTAAGTTGTATTATAAATTCTGTATTACTCTACTTGTAGATTGTACAATAGTGGTTCTGCTTGTAGAAATCCTGTGCCATTCTAATCATAAAATTCTGTTAAGAAAATAAAGCTTTAAGTGTAACTATGACAGTGCCGTCATCATTCTGCCAAGGATCCCTAAAGAACCTGTATGTCCCCTTAGTGTCAGATGACAACACCCTACTCCCACTGTCTCCAGGAGGGCTCCCAGGTCCCTCTAAGCAGAACCCAGCTTAGTTCCACACTTGCAAGAAACTGCAGAAAAAAAAAAAAAAAAAAAAAAAAAAAAAAAAAAAAATTTCCCCCCCCCCTTAAAAAAAAAAAAAAAAAAAAGCCTGTTACGATAATGAAAAGATTTAACAGCAACGCGGGGAAAATTCTTGAATTATTTTTTCCCTCCAGATCTCTGCCACAGCTTCTCATCTCTTTATTTACTTCAGTCTTAAAAAATCCACTCCGAGTGGGAGGAAGTTTTCTCGGGACTCCCCGCGCGGCCTCGGCGCAGCGCTTGCGGGCGGCGGAGCACCGCGGGCGTTGAACCTGAGCTCTCGGGTCACGGGCTGGTGCCGGCCGCTCCCTGGCTCCCACCTCTGCTCTGAAGCAGCGCGGGGACCTCGGGGACCCTGACCGGCGACGAGCTCGCCGACCGGCCCCAGCTGCGACCTAAAATGAAACATCGGCCGAGTAGCTTTGCGACCGCAGTAACGCTTTATCGTTTAAATTAAAACCTGTTTGTGTGCAAAGGCAGCCCCAGAAGACATCATGTAATCATTAACCTCGCAAAGCGAGCGCCCGCGGGATCTCAGCCTGGATAGCGGGGGGGGATGGTGCTGCAGGGCCCGCGTGACTCGGGGACACGCTGGGTTCGTGTCCGTCACCGCTCTCGGGTGACATTTCACGGAGAATCAGGACGGAACACGCAGGTAGACGCCCCGAGACTGGCCCTTTACGTGCTTGACCAGGCGGAGGGGAGAGTCGGGTCGGAGAGGGGGCGCGGTGCCTGCCGAGACGCGCG